TGGTACCAGGGATTGAACTTGGGTCCTTGCTCTTGCAAGGCAGGCCACCGAACCGCTGAGCTAAATCCCCGGCCCTGGAACTGATATTTTGAAGGTACAGTATAACTACATATTAGGCACTAGGATTTGATAGAATGAATTGACATTTTTATTTTGAGTAAAATCAACCTTTTCCTGCTGTGTTGTTAATGCCATCTATTGATAGCTTTAACACACCCCTCATTTTTTTGTTTTTTGTTTCCTTTGCACTGAGGATTGAACCTGGGGCTAGGCAAGTGCTCTACCATTAAGCTACATACCCAGTCCTTTTAAAATGAAATTAAATGAAGTTTTGAGAGAGGGTCTTGTAAACTGCCCAATGTTAATCTTGCTTATCAAATTGGCCTGAGAGATGCCTAGGAAATTAGTAAAGCATACTTCTGGGTTGGTCATGGAGGTATGACCTTAAAGACTAACTCTGGTCTCTGTTCCCATCCTCTTGGGCTCTTTCCTCGCTTCTTTTTTTTTTTTTTTTTTTTTTTTTTTTTTTTTTTTTTTTTTTTTTTTGAGACAGGGTCTTTCTATGTAGCTGAGACTGACCTGGAACTCACTATGTAGCCAAGGCTGGTCTCAAACTCAGAGCAATCCTCCTGCCTCAGCCTCCCCAGTGCCGGGATTACAGGCGTGCGCCACCATGCCTGGTTTAACAGCTTATGTGTTCCCTGCTTCTTGCTTCACAGTTAGCTTGAGTTGAGTAGCAACTTTCCTCTGCTGTGCACTTCTACCATAATGTTTCTGCTTTGGAGCCGCTGACCATGGACTGAAACCTCTGAAACTGTGAGCCAAAATAACCCTTCCCTCCTTTAAGTTGAAGGTGTCAGGTATTTTGTGCCAGCAATGGGAAAGCTGATCAGTACACTTAGGCTAGACTCAAACTTAAAATCTTCCTGCCTAAGCTTCCTGAGTAACTGATATTGTGGGCACACACCGCAATGCCTAGCTTCCCTGTCTTTTCTAATCACTTGGAACTGAATTTTGAATTGCCTCCAAATTTAGTGTGATCCTGATTTTCTCCCTGAACATATTATTTTGATATATGAAGTGTATTAGCTATTGTGATCAGAGGCATATTTCTACTTTTGTCCTTGAAATTTTTTGGAAAACTACAGATAGTTACAATTCAGCAAATGGCCTATGATAGTCCATCTCTGTTTTAATCATGCGCCTAGAAGAATGACATTGTCTTTCCGTATGCCATTGCTGTGTCAGGTATACCTTCTTGACATGATTCTGAGATGTGTTCTGTTTTTTCAAAGCAAACATGAAGGGATGTTTGAGAAACTTTACAGGCTGAGGACGATAATCCTAATTTGTTGTGAGAGCACAGGAAGCAATTTCTATGAGTCTATGACATTCTTATGTAGCAGTGACATCAGGCCCAGACTTTTGGAACTACAGAGAATGAGAAGTAAAAAACAGTTTTTTTTTTCTATTCAGTTTATTTTGAGGAGACAGGAAACAGGTCATTTAGGGGTAAAGCTATGCTGTGAGACCATTGAGGCAACTAGGTATCTTCTAGGAGTTTATGATATGAAGGCAGCAGAGATAAACACCCAGCATTTATTGAAGACCTACATTGTGCCTGAAACTTGTCCTTTGTGTATTATTTGATCTTCACAGCAACCTAAGGTGGTTTTCCTCCTTGAAGTGCTGCATTGCATAACAGTTACATAATCATGAAATAAAGTTGGGATTTGGAGCCTAACTTTGCTAAGGCATAATATTTTAAGAGTTGTAATTTTAGGCACTTAACACCTGGCAAAATTTTTCATTTTCTTTATATTTTACCTTCATATTACTATATTGATTTAAAAATAATTTAAAATTTATACAATAATGCAGATAATTATTAAAAATTACACACATAGAAGAAAGCACAAAGAAGAAATTAGATATTATCTCTTTACTACAATGTGCCAACCATTGTGATATATGTATATGTATATGTATCTCCTTTCTCCTAGGCTGGAGGAATCTGATGATCTCTTTTAATCATTGTCTGTAATAGAGTGTTGCTGTTAGGTAGTGTTTGACTCAGGCGTAGATCCCTGCTTCATCAAGCATAGCCAGAACAGAAGGATTAGTAAATTATGAAGTCCTTGGCTGCTTTTCTCAAAAAGTCAATGGGCAGCAATGGGACGCGACTGTTTAGTACAATATAAGTTCTATGGTTTCAGATTTAAATAATGCTGTGGTGAAAATATTGTAGATAAATTTTTATGCCCATTTTAGCTTTTCTTGGAAAAAGTTATATTTTGAGGAATTGCTAGGGCAAAGAATACATACTTTGGGAAGATTTTTCAATATATGTTGACAAATTGCTGCCCTTCTAGCAATGAGTTATTTAATAAGCTAAGCTTGAATTGTTCAATTGTTATTGTTATTAGATTTTAATTGAAAATTATTTTTATAAATTATAATCTAATCTCCAAATAACTGAATCAGAGAAAGAATAAAATACTCCTAGATTTATATGGAAATTTTTAATTGAAATAACCAGAAGATGCTACAGAATTCTAAAGGAATCACAGAAGGTGATGTTCTGTGCTGGAACAATTCCTCATTTGCATTTAGGTAGAAAATCGAAGATACGGACTTTAAAATGGTTACTTTCTAATTTCAGGTTAGGGAAACCCTAATTTTTAATCTCCCACTTCATGGAACCAGTTGGCCTCACCTGGGTTAGAAGAAGAAAAAAATCTGTTAAAAGAAAAGAACTGGCTGATGTAGTAAATAGACAACACACAAGGGTATCTTCCCCTCACCTCTGGAACCAGTCCAGGTGATTAGAGTGTTCACGGGGTCCAATACTAAGATTTAGGCAATTTTCAAAAATTAAGAAAGTAGGAATTAGAGATTCTTCTCCAGAGAGGGTTGCAAACCTACTGTCACCTTCTGAGACTTAAGCAGAAAATTCAGTTGAGCCAACTTGCACTGAGCATTTCAATAAAAGGTAAATTTAAATTCATATGGGTAATATCCCTACATTATATATCATAAACAAAAATCACACTTAATAAACTTTTCTTTGCTATTTATGTTACTGAAAGTTTCTTTTCATTCCTTTGTATATTTTCATTTTTTGTAAACATCAACAAATGAACCCCTTTTATTACTTTATCCCCTTATCTTGCTACATTTTTTTGAGGCACCCTTTAACCCTATTAAAATACTCAGTTTCTCATTATAGGCATGTGCCACCATGCCAGCAAAAATAAGAATTGTAAGTCCTGAAAGTTGACTTGTTAAAAAAATTAGCATAAAAGGAAAATAACTTTTCAAATGAAAGATTAAATTATGGGCTATGGATAATTTTAGAAAACTATTTTGCTAGATACCTAATTCCTAGTATCTCAATTTTCTAAGATTGCCTAAATATCTAATTTCCTAGGGTAGTATATTTTAAAATATTCTGTCAGGATTTAGAACATTGAGTAACTCCAAGTGACACTATTGGAACTGTTCACTTGTGATATTAAGAATGTCTTAATTTATAATATTTTAGTATGACTTTTGTTAGAATAGCTTTTTTCTGAAGGTACAATGTGAAATTTTTTAAGATGGATTTTTGTTTGTTTGTTTGCTTTTTGGTACTGGGGATTGAACTTGGGTCCTTGTGCTTGCAAGGCAGGCCACAGAACCGCTGAGCTAAATCCCTGGCCCCAAGGTGGGTTTTATTTTATTTGGTTTTTTTTGAGACAGAGTCTCATTATGTAGTTGAGAGTGACCTGGAACTCACTATGCAGCCCAGGCTGGTCTCGAACTCACAGCGATCCTCCTGCCTCAGCCTCCTGAGTGCTGGGATTATAGACATGTGCCACGACGCCCGGCTTATAATGGGTTTTAAATAGTAAGATATAAGAACTTGACATTAGGAATTATTCTTTTCATTTTATTCACAGTCCAATGTAAAGCATGACAGTTTCCACAATGTTAATAAATGTTTAGAAAATTTCCAAATGGTTGTTTCCTGTGTTAATAATACATTTTTGTTTGTTTTCAGTGAACAGATATGGTTCAAAACTGTACATGAATAACTTCAATTACTCAGAGTGAACATTCAATAATGAGTAGTGCAGCTTTGGGACTCGAGATTGTTTTTGTCTTTTTTCTGGCTTTATTTCTACTTCATCGATACGGAGACTTCAAAAAACAACATAGACTTGTAATTGTTGGCACACTGCTTGCTTGGTATCTCTGCTTTCTTATTGTCTTCATACTGCCTCTGGATGTTAGTACGGTAAGAAGTGGAACTGATTTTCACAATTTAAGAAGCAGCTATAATTATGTAGTTTGTTTGAGATCCATTATATCTCAGTAAATAATATCAGGTTAAACTTATATTTTGAATTTAAATGTTATTTTAGGAATTTGATGATTATACAGCATAATCAGGGAGATAACTTTAGGTAGGTAGACTTGTAAACTCCAATAAACCTTAAAAGATATACCTTAAAAAATTAGTAACTTTTTATTCTCATTTCTAACTATGATTGCTTTAGACCATATACAACCGGTGCAGGCATGCGGCTACAAATTCAAGCCCTCCAGAGAGTAACAACAGCACAGGATCATATGCAACTATCACCCCTGTTCCAAGGTATTTTATTCTTTGTCTTTTTATTTTACTTTTTAGCTTAATGCTGTAAGAGGAAAATTGTTTAAAAACTGTTTTTACCACCCATATTTTATATTTATAAAAATTAATCTCCATTGATCCTTCCACTTTCATTCTTTGCTGATATTCTTTTTATTACATCATTTTCTACTTAAATCTAAGCTACATATTTATTTTTTTAATTTTTTTTGGTACCGGCGATTGAACTCGGGTCCTTGCACTTGCAAGGCAGGCCACCGAACCACTGAGCTAAATCCTTGGCCCCTTAAGCTAAATATTTATTGATAGTAGATAGTAGATAGTAGTAATGAAAAACTTAAAGGAAACCTAATTTTTTAGCCTGACTCTTTCACTTTTCAAGTATGAGACTTCCAAAACTTTTGTTTTTTCTCAACCTCAGTCTCATATTTTAAAAAGTGGATCATGACCATTCCATTACCATAAATCAAGGAGCATGCATTGTTTTTGCCTAATTTACAAGGTGATGAAGAACATGGAAGTTATTCTATATGTAGGGCATTACTTTTATATTGCACATCCCTTAAAAGTATTATAGTTTTAAATCAAGAGTAAAATAATTCAAATTGTCACAAGATAATATTGAATTGATATCAAATTTCCAGGTAAAAAATGAATCTATGTTGATATAAAGTTTTAGCAATACTTTATGTAGTGTGTTTCTTTATGCAGCTTTAAAAAAAAAATCTAAATTAAATAAATTTAAATTGTAGTTGTTACTTCTCTTTGAAGCACCATTTGAAATTGTTTATAAATCAGTTGCAATTATAGGGTGTTGTTAAATCTTTGTTTTTTTGTTTTGTTTTGTTTTTGAGACAGGGTCTCACTATGTAGTTGAGATTGACCTGGAACTCACTGTGTAGTCCAGGCTGGTCTTGAACTCACAGCAATCCTCCTGCCTCAGCCTCCCCAGTGCTGGGATTATAGGCATGCACCACCACGCCTAGCTGTTAAATCTTTGGATTAAAGGATATTCTCATAGCCTAAAACACTTAAATGGAATAATTTATGGTCAGAGACTCATCAGAAAATTCAAACACAATTGTATATGGATACTGGTACGCATCTGCATCATAGTCATATTATACAGTGAATCCTCAAGTTACGACCAGCCTGACGTACAAGCAACTTGTATTACAACTAGAATTTTAGTTTTAATCTATGACTGAAGTCTTGAATCACAACCAGAATATCAGCCTCTTGTGCTTCTACATAGTATCAGATATTTTAAAGAGTTCTGAAAGGAACATTACAGTATTCTTTCCTGTGTGGAGTTAACTGAGAGTCTTGGGCCTGTATCTCTTAAGGACACTCAGATCTGCTTGTATATAGGAGAGAAAGTTTGAAGGCTGTGTAGAGGAGCCTGAGCCTTCAGTTGAACAACTTGAGTTACAACTAGCCCTCGGGAATGAATTGAGTTTGTGAGTCAAGAGTCCACTAGTGGCTAATTTAATCAGCATTTCAACTTCTAGAACTTAATCATCTAATAATCTTTTCTTCCCCACCTCCTATTTCTATATAACAATTAAAATAGAAACAAAATAAAACTTTTTGGGAGGCTGAGGGAAGAGGATCATAAGTTGGAGGCCACCTTGGGCTACAGAGCTTCTTCAAGGCCAGCTGGGGCTACCTAGTGAGATCTTGTTTGAAAAGATCAAAACCGAAACCAAAACCAAAAGAAACCTTGACCGACCCTATAAATGGGATTAGTATGTACTTTAAGATTAATCACTAGAGATTTGATTTAATAACATCTAAAGACATTATTAGTCTATTAGTTGGACATTCTTTTTACTTATGACTAAAAATACACTGAAAGTTGAAGACTAAATGGCATTTCTCTTTAGAGAATTGTTTACTCTTTGTGTATTTTTTTGAGAGCTTTGAATTTAGTCTTCTAATGAAGTCTTATGAGGTAGAGTCAATAATTACTAATCTGACTAAATGAACTTTGCCACACATAAATTAATTGTTAATTCACTTAAATAATAATCACTTATGATTAATTCATTTTAAATTTTTATTAAATAGACAACATCCATGTTTTAAGCCATGGAGTTACATTCCTGATGGAATCATGCCAATTTTCTGGAGGGTAGTATATTGGACATCACAATTTTTAACATGGTAAGTAACAGTGAAGACTAAAATTTTAAAAATTTTAACTCAAGTTAGAAAAGGGATTATTTTTCAATGAACCTTTGTATTTTGCAATTTATTTTCTTCCTTAAATTTGTATCTTCTTCCTTTCTGCTGGATCAAATCTCCCTTTTAATAAACAGGAAGGGAGGGAAGAGGAGAGAGGAAAAGAAAAAACAAAAAAAAAACAAACAAAAAATCAAAAAGTTTTTCTTGTCACTCTTTCCTTCCAGTTACTGTTCTTTCTCTTGATCTTTAATCCAGTCTTCTTCAAGTCCCTTTGTTGTATGAAACTACTCTTGCCAAAGTCAGCAATATTCCCTGGTTTTCCTTCAACCATCTTAGCCAACCTTTTGAATTTGCTTCATAGAGTCTTAAGTTTGATCACCTTGGACTCTTCCTGGATAGCTTTAACTAGAGCCATGGTTCCATTGGCCAGTAATGCATCCCAAATCTTACTCTAGACTCATTATAGCTTTGTGTTTTTGCTCTCTCTGCTGGTTCCAGAGACATGTTTACCCACTGCCTACTGATATCTCTGAGATGCAGCTAAGCTCTCAAATTGGGCCGAACATTGTAAGAGTAAAATCACACAACAGAGTAGATTAGTGCCCCTGTAAGTTCGTGTTTATCATCCTTGACTGGGCCCTCAAAATTGGTAGTTTTCTTCGTTTCATTCTGTTTGCTGTTTATTTCCCACGTTGGACATTTCTAGTCACTTCAAACTACTATCCTTTTTGTGCCCCCCACCAAAGTCACCTTCACTCTTAGCACATGACTTTACTTTCTATCTCACAGTGAAAAGTAGAAGTCATCAGATGTTAGTTCTTTCAGCTTCTCACCAACAAATTACTCTACCCGTCCTTTCTCCTTTTCCCTCCAAGGATGGAAGAATTGTTCTTGTTAAGCTGTTCCCTCTTCCTGAATTAAGTATGTACCTCCTTCAGCTCTTGTCACCTACTTATAGCTTTTAGTTTTGACCAAGTAATTCCCTCATCTTTTCAAACAAACAAACAAAAATCTCTCAACTCAAATCCCTTTCCAGCTTCCATCTTGTAATTTCATCACAATTAAATTTTTTGAAGACTTCAAAAAATTGAATTATACGTTTCTACTGAAAAATCCACAGACTGTATTTAGATTGACTTTGTGTGTGTGTGTGTGTGTGTGTGTGTGTGTGTGTCTGTGATATTGGAGATTGAACCCAGGGCCTTGAGTGTACAAGGAAAATGCTGTACCACTGAGCTACACCCCTAGCTCCTTTTATTTTATGAGAAAGCATTTTTCCAGATTGCACAAGCTGGCCTCAAACTCTTTATCCCCTCCTTTGCCTTCCCATGTATCTGAGATTATGGATGTGTGCTAGTGTACCCAGCTACTGAAGTTTTTCCAAAGTGAATGTGCCTAGTACTCATGATATAGGACATTAAGAATGCCCTCTAGGGCCAGGAATTTAGCTCAGTGGTTCTGCTGCCTGCCTCGCAAGCACAAGGACCTGAGTTCAATCCCTGCTACCAAAAAAAAAAAAAAAAGTGCTCTAAAGCCTTCCTCCTGCTCCTTCCTTGTAATCGCCAGTCCCCAAAGGCAACCATGATTCCAACTTCCATCACCATAAATTAGTTTTGCTTGACTGTGACTTTTATAAACATGGAGTGAGTAGTATGATATGTGCTTTCTTTTCTTTTGTTTTTGTTTATACATTTGAGAGGTTTGTTATATTTTATGTATCAGTATTATATTTTTTCTGTAAGATATCCTATTTTATGTATATATAATAGTTTATCCTATGCAGCTACATTTCTTAAATTAACTGTCTATATTTGGTGTTTCCATTTCCATTTGCTCATTATTTACTTATTCCTCAAACCATAGTACCTGTTTTTCCTGTATCCATGCCTGTACTAACACATACTGGTTCTTAGTTTACTTGATCTCTTAGCAGCATTTGATTCTATTCTCTTCCCATTTTTATTATTTATTTTTTTTTTTTATGTACTGGGGATCAAACTCAGGACCTTGCGCTTGTGAGGCAGGCAGCAAAACCACTGAGTTGAATCCCCAGCCCTCTGTCTGTTTTTAAACACTTCCTTCTGGTTTTTATTCCATGTATTCTTTGGTTTTCTTCCTTTCTCTTTTACTGTTCTCAGGTCTCTTCACTGGCCCTTTTTTCTCCTGTTTCTCTACATCTCTCCTGAAAGTTGATATTTCTCAGAGGTCAAAGTTCTTTCCTTCCTCATCCCATATATTCACTTTCCGGAGTTAATCTGCTGATATTATTTTTGTACCATTTGTATGAATCATGGCTCCAGAATCTATCTGTATTTCTAGTCAGTCTTTCCTGAACTCTGCAGCTGGATAGCCAACTACTTCCTCCCTGTGAAGCTCCTGTTGGATGTCTCTTAAGTCAGAGTCACTACAGTTGATAATCCATCCTGTTCCTTTTCCATTTTTAGACAGTATCTCACTGTGTGGCTCAGGTTGGCCTTACACTCATGATCCTTTTACCTCAGCTTCCCAGGTGCTGGGATTACAGGACTGCTCCACCATGCCTGGTTTCCCCTCCTGTTTCTTACCACCATCTTCCTCACCCTCCCAAGTAGTTCTAGTATTGTTCCATTTCAGTCCTTCGAAAATTTGATCATAAATCCTTTCTATTAAAAAAAGTTTCCTCATTTTTGAATGCAGCCCAATTCTTCATAAAGCTTTTAAAGGCATATTTTTAGACTTATCTGAAATCTCTTGCACTGTTGTATGCTGCTGATCCTTTTGGTCTCCTTTACCCAAAGACTGTTCATTGCTTTCTCCTGCCTGAGGACTTTGCTCTCCCCCAATTGATAAAAATACTCAATAATTGCATATGGTTTATGATTTATTCAATGTTAACACAATTATTAATGAGAATTATCTATTAAAATTGAGATTCATATAGTTCTGGTATTTTGAATTATACAGATCTCTTAGTTACTGTCTTGTAACTGGGACAAAATACCTGATACCCACAGCTTAAAGAGGAGAGGTTTATTATAGTTCACAGTTTCAGAAGTCTCAGTCCTTTCATAGTATGCTGGCTCCAGTTAAAAGCAGCATGGCAGAGGGAGATAGCAGAGGAAGACAGCTGCTTATGTTATTGTGTCCAGAAAGCAGAAGGAGAAGGGAGCCAGAAGAAAAATACTCCCTTCCAGGTCATTCCCTCAGGGACTGCTCCCTTCATCTCACCAACTAATAGCTTGGCATTAGCACTTGCGTGGGTCTAATCCTCTTCCAAAAGCTCCACCTGCCTATGAACACAGGAACCTCTTGGGGACCAT